CGTCGTCTGCTTATTTTTCGTACTTGATAATGAAAACATGGATAGGTCAAGTCCTCTGGCACTGTGGCGAAGGCTCTAATTGGAAGTCCGCAAAGATTACTTCGCTATTCAAGATTGGAAGTCGGGCCTCTGCGAATAAGTATAGGCTTGTTCGCAAAACCATGGATAAAACCGCTAAGAAGGTGTTGATGCAGTTCCTTGGGTGGAATCACCTTGGCCTCGACGCTCAACACTGTTTTTGCAGTGGTGGGACCGGTGATGGCTTGACACTTCGCGTTCTACTCATTAATTGCCGCGGTTTCCTTGTCCGTGTTAGATGCGGGCTTGGTCATTGCGCGACAAGTATGCTCGCTGTCGTCCAAGCTCCGCACCAATTAGGACCCCAAGGAGAAGGACAGTTAACTATAGTACGCAAGCGGATGACCCCTACGAACTATAAATACCGTGTAATATGTGCATGTTTCAACCCTATCTGCGCATGGCTCCGACTATCCTACCATTACCTATGATAAAGGATTCTCGAGAGAATTCGAACCATGAGGAAAAGAAGACTCTTGTTCCAGTGGTCGCATTTTCTTCTTCTGAACTGATTCCTGGACCCCGCGTTTTCACTTCTATTGGAAGTCGACGAAGTCTGCCAGATCTACAATACAGTTGATCGGGTGAGCCTTTATGAGGTTTAAAAAAGAGAGATTTTCTAAACTATTTTGAAGCTTCGTTGGCCTCATCTAGAATTCGGTACACGCACATGGATACCTTGGTCTGTCGAAGTTTGTACCGTCTTAGTGGAAGTCGAGAGGCGGGTGACAAACATGACCAAAGGTCTGGGAACACTGCCCAACGACCTCTGTTTTATTTTGTATCGATGCATTTCTTAGCCACTTTATCAGTAGGAGGGTCAAAAGCGTTTGCGTAATCTATCATACGGGCACTCGAATCCAAAAAATCATATCACATACAGTAGTGACTCTAATATGAATACGCATCGTAATGTAGAAACATCTATGAATTGTCATCGTATACTTCTCCCTTTACATTGCTAACCGTTCTCTCCATGTGTTTTGCCATTTAAAAGTACGCGCATTTGTTTCAGCTATCTGCATGATGACCGAATAGATTGCATCCTCCAGAACCCACTTAGGGACTGCTTCTATGGATAGCTACTTTATTGTGTCAATTACGTTACTCCTAAATAATTCATGACATATTGCTCATGGACACTCGACGGTGTCTACAGAAAATTCGTACAGCTGCAAAATTTTTGTTCCATTGTTAATAAGAATCCAAATGAAGTATAGGGTTGGCTACCAACAATTGTTTCAGATGGCATTTTGTCTCAAAGACACTGAGCACTGTTGTTGGGGTAAATATCTGTTACGTGCCCTTTAAATATAAGAAGATATGACGCAGGATAAGTTTTAGGTTTTTGAAATCTTGATCAGGGGACCGAGATTATGAATGAATACCTTGATTAAATCATTCAAGAGAGAAAGGCGGAATTCTTTATCCAAAGTAAGAGTAGGATGAGCCAGAACGTCCTAAAAGGAGAAAAATCCACAGATGGGAAACATTCGGAAACTGTTTTGTTGTCGTTTTTACTATGGACACGATTCAAGCAATCCTTATATGCCCATATAACACGCTCGGAATGGTAGGTTAAAGCTTATAACGGAATTGGCTATGAATGAGTTTTCATTATCCTTGCGTATACAATATACTGTTCCTAACAATCTAGACTTCCCACCCTCTTATCTCCTCCCCTAAAGGAACCACGGATTCGGAAGATCGTAGCAGTTAGCCTTAACATCTCGCGATACCCATTCATAAACAAACTTGCGAGAGAAGGCAAGGGCAAGAATTTAGTAGCTGTGTTAGTATTCCGGCAAGATAGGCAAACCGCAGGATAGCTATGTCGGGCTATTTGCCCTCATCAGCTAC